TTGAGACACTTCCTTCAGCATATGCAGAGCATGCGGTAGCCCCTGTGTGACAGGCCAAGACTTAGGATGATTCTAGACTCTTGGTCGTATTCCCTTAAAGGAATCTATTCCTGATTCCAAGCCTTGAGCCCTACCCCGGGCCCAGGAGATCTGGCCCAAACAGGTAAGTTTTTGGGGTATGTAGCCTAGGCCTTTGGCCGTAGGGGATAATGTCACTGACAGCCGTCTTAACGTCCCAGGGGCAACTCCCATGGCTATGGTAGAGTTGGTACTTAGTGTGCGCCATGGTTTTCTGGCATGCACTCCCCTCAGCATGGTGGCGTGGGTATACCATTCCCCATAGCAACCCCTAGAGGACGCAGTTCGAAGTTCCCTTGAAAGGGAACGTCTCAGGTTACGAATGTAACCATGGTTCCCTGAGTAGGGAACGAGACACTGCGCCCTCTAGGTTTCCTGCCATGCTTCGGACGCAAGCTTCAGACGAAGAAGTGGATGATGTGTTCTCCCAGCGCCTATTTATACTATAGTCGCATCGGTAGTGACGTCATGGCTGTCGCCAGCCAATGTGTTGTTGGTGTTTTTTCAATGTATGCTTCAGACACGAGTCACGATGAGGCGCTGCCCATAGTGACCCCTAGAGGACACAGTGTCTCGTTCCCTTCTCAGGGAACCATGGTTACATACGTAACCTGAGACATTTTTAAATATGATGGTTTAATTCTAAACATGGTGATTATCTCTAATGTGGACACCCAACATAATATATGATATTTACTGTCTGAATCTAACCATGTCATGTCAACAAATGGAAAAAGTCAGCCATCTATTAATTATCATGTTAATTACTGTGCACCTTTAGCCCCAACAGCAGGGGCGCTTTTTACCCCAAATACCATACTTTTACATATACTTTTGTTATTTAAAAACTGTTGCTTTAATGATGTTAAATAAAACTGAAAATCATAAAGACCTTTGTCTCAAAATATATGTATTAATTTTTGCTATTCTCATTTGCTACTTAAATCTACAACATTTAAAAAAAAAAAAATTTGATCAAGTAAGCACAGAATCAACTTTGCACTGCTGCGCGCGAGGATCAGACAAATAAGCACGTGCATCTTGAAAAGCGAATGTTTTGGAAAGTGCTATGCCACGTTTTTGTGCCATCTAGTGGTTTAGATGAAAATAATATCAAAGGCGCCTTTAGCCCCATTGTACCCCTATACATTTTTTTTTAACTGTTGCTGAAAAGCCACTGTTTACTGGCAGGTTCCATTGTGACAGCTTACACATACAGTCATGGCCAAATGTTTTGGCAGTGTTGTTGTGTTTTGCAAAGTTTGCTGCTTCAGTATGTGTAGATTATTTTTCCACACATTTCTATGGTATACTGAAAAACAATGATAATCATATCATAAATTTTAAAGGCTTTTATTGGCAAAAAAATTGTATCAGTCAATATTTACAGTGTTGACCCTTGTTCTTCATAACCTCTGCAATTTGCTCTGGCATGCTGGATATTAGCTTCTGGGCCAAATCCTGACTGATGACGATCCATTCTTGCCTTATTAGTTCTCAGAGTTGATCACAATTTGTGGGCTTCTGCTTGTCCACTCGCCTTTTAAGGACTGACCACAGGTTCTCTATGGGACTAAGATCCGGGGACTTGCCTGGCCACGGATCCAAAATTTCAATGTAATGATCTTCGAGCCACTTCTTTATCACTCTTGCTTTGTGACCAAATTGCTCATGGATCGTTGGAAGTAGTTGCTCTTGTAGGAAGTTTTGATACCATCCTTTATTCAATGCAGTGTTTTTGGGCAGAATTATGAGAGCCCCCACTCCCTCTGTTGAAAAGCAACCCCACACATGGATGGTCTCAGGATGCTTCACTGTTGGCACAACACAGGACTCATGGTAGCGTTCACCTTTTCTTCTCTGCTCTGCACTGCTGGTGACATGATTCCGTATGCTGACTCCTCATGAGGAGATGGTCCTGGCGCTTGCTGGACACTTTGGGACATCCTGAAGACTTCTTCACTGCAGTCGAACCTCTGTTCTTGATGATCCGGTAAATGGTTCTTTCAGGTGCAATATTCTTTGTAGCAATTTCCTTGCATGTGTAGCGTCTGGACCACTCAAACACACAATATATATTTTGTTAGCTAGATTTAACAAATACTCTGTAACACCCCAGGAAGCCGAACAGGCCCCTGGTTCCATAGCAACACTGCCACCAGATACATTTACGATCTAAAGGAATGTGAGCAGAGAGCAAGAGAGGCCATTTTGATGCAAATTGATGATGGCTGCATGTTTCTTTGGAGGTAACCATCAACAAGAACAAGAACACAATGATTGAAAGTGCTTCTTCCCTCCTTTTATAGCAATCAGTCTGCTCTTACAATCTAATTAGTATGATAGTGATTTCACCTGACTAGTACTCATTCACACTTTCACATGCGCTGCTGATATGATTAGTCAATTAATGCTAGCTTGTCATTTTGTGTCAGGATGAAATAACAGTGAAATTTGTTTTTGTTTTTTTTGTAAAAAAAATTAATTTTTTTGGCTAATGAAGCTTTTAGCAATTATTTAAAATGCATCTGATCACTCTACACAATAATCTAGAAACAATGTGAATGAACGCCACGACAGCTTAAGCAGCAAACTTTGCAAAACACAAAACTTATGTCACTGCCAAAACTTTTGGCCATGACTGTACTGCGTGATAGTGTGCTATGTAGTGCAGGATGCCTCCTTTGCATGCCACAAATCTTACAATCTAATTAGTATGATAGTGATTTCACCTGACTAGTACTCATTCACACTTTCACATGCGCTGCTGATATGATTAGTCAATTAATGTTAGCTTGTCATTTTGTGTCAGGATGAAATAACAGTGAAATTTGTTTTGTTTTTTTTTGTAAAAAAACTTAATTTTTTTGGCTAATGAAGCTTTTAGCAATTATTTAAAATGCATCTGATCACTCTACACAATAATCTAGAAACAATGTGAATGAACGCCACGACAGCTTAAGCAGCAAACTTTGCAAAACACAAAACTTATGTCACTGCCAAAACTTTTGGCCATGACTGTACTGCGTGATAGTGTGCTATGTAGTGCAGGATGCCTCCTTTGCATGCCACAAAAGTTAACATGGTCAGTGAAGTTCCTGATGTTCACAAGCTGTTTTGAGGTCAAGACTTTAAGGTCTCTTATCGATTATTTCTCCATTAAATATTGAAGAATAATAAACTGAATAACTTTTCTATTTCAAAAATGCTAAACAAAAAGTACTTGATAGTGTCTGACATTGCAAAACATTTTGATGTAATACGGTGTCTGTGGTTTTCACTTACAGTATTCATTTCCTGCTTTCAGCAAGAGATTGCAGATAAATATGCAATGATGAGAAAAAACCTTGCAATGATGAGAATAAAATGCATGTTTTCAGAACATGTAATCATGAGAAATAGGTGTTACCACTCTCAATGCTGCCCTCCCACATTTGTAGTTAATAAAAACACATAAAAGTGACTTGTGCCATTTTCACTTATCCTAAGTAAAATGCAGACTGCAGAGACAACTTTAAAGCCCAAAGTAGGCGTATACATAAAGTTTTTACACGTATGCTACAGTGTGTTTGATGGAAATATTGTTATCAGCATTGTACATGTGCCGTGTGATCTGCAACTCTTGTTTAAATGAGTAAAAAGACATTTTATTCGGAAATAGTGAAGATGACTGATGGTAGTTAAAAAAAAGATCTATAGGCGGATTTTATAGATGCAAGTTTTTAAAAGTCTTCTGTAGTGTCTTGGGCATGACATGGTGTTCTAAAAGCATGATGCTCAAGTTAAAAAAGTACTTTAAAAAAACTTCTCTAGACATTTCTTTATTTTTTCTCGTTCCACTACTTGCATTTTTCAATGCAAAAATGTGTTCTGTGTGAACGGCCCAAAAGAAAGCCATTTGAAGGGTGAAATTGTAAACATCATGTTTTGTGACAGTATCAAAACGTTGTCCAACCAGTGTCTGAGTTTGGGGCAGCCCTTACCAAAAACTAGTATACTTCAAGTTTATTTTAGTAAGTATACTTAAGTAAAGTTCAAGTATATTTTTAAGTATACTTTATGTAGTAAGTATGCAAATATCAGTGTACTAGCAGTATACTTGTAAGTGTACTATTTCAATACTCCTTGGGACTAAATTGGCCCACTTTCTATTATATACTATTAATTGGATACAGAATGATAATCAAAAAGTAGATCAAGTCGATCAACACCCCAAAGCTTGACAGTCATTATTACCTCTTCATTGGTCGACATTTTATTCCATAATGTTAAATAGTTTTGATACTGTTTTATGTCTGATGATCGTGTTAGAATACATGTGGAAGCATCTGTTGTTTAGGTTTCTTCTTCACTTGTGTTTTTTGGAAATTCTGTACAGAAGATGTGTAATATCGCCCCCTACAGTATAACAATGAAAACATGGACTCTAGGAGCACAATTATAGCTAAAGTATATTTAGACTTTTTCTAAGTATAAGTCAAGTATACTTAAATGTCATTTTAAGTATATTTCTGAGAAGTACATAAAAAGTAGACTAAAAGTATACTTTCCTATTTTTAGTTTAAAAGAAGTATACTAATAGCACACTTGAATAAACTTCTTTTTCGTAAGGGAGGACTGTTCGGTTGGACAACCAGTAGCAGTAGGGAGTTCAGGTATTTGGGAAACCTGCTTGAAAACAGTTTCAACAATTTCAGTTTCATTATTTCAATGTGGAGCAGAAATTAGACACTTTACGTTTAACGCAACACTTACCATAAAAAACTATGAAGTCTAGTGTGTTTAATAAATTATAATAACCATTATAAACAAACAGGTGAATAACTCCACCTTCATATCCAGATTGGCCAATATCATTTTTTAGATGGCTACATTAAAGTATACGGGAAGGAACCAAATGTAATTGTATATTGTCTTTTCAGTCTGTTTAGTTCTCAGATGCACAAGATGGTGACTCCTGCCACCGCACTGACTCCTCCCACCACTGGAAATAACAGTAATTTCAACCAATTCGTTGACTCAGAGTTTCGCTACACTCTGTTTCCTATATTCTACAGCCTGGTCTTTATCTTTGGGTTGCTGGCCAACTGCTACGCTCTTTATGTGCTGCACCGTATGCGAGAGTCTAAAGCCATGAATGAGATTCGAATCTACATGAGCAACTTGACCGTTGCAGACCTGCTGTTTGTGGTCGCTCTACCGTTCTGGATTGACTACTTCAAGAATCATGGCAACTGGAAGAACTCAGATGCCCTCTGTCGTATCACAGGCTCGTTGTTCTTCATCAACACATACTGCTCTATTCTCTTCCTTACTGTCATCAGCATTAACCGTTACTGGGCCGTTACCAGGCCGCTGGTGGCCGCTTCTTCTGACTGCTGGAGACGTGGAGCAATCGTCTCAGCGTTCATCTGGGTCGTTACTCTTGCAGCATCAGTTAAATACCTCACTGATGATGGAATCCCGAAGAATACGGAGAATAACAACATTTCTCGCTGTTTTGAGGGTTATCAAAACGAATCTTACTCTACAAAATATGCAATGGCCGTCACGCACTTCATCATTATTAGCTTATTCTTTCTTGTTTTCTTGATGGTGATTATCTGCAACATCTCGATCGCTCGAGCTCTTCTGCTGCAACCCATCAGTCAGCCTCGAAGCAGCACAGGAAAACGTCCCGGTGGTACCAAGCGCAGAGCTTTAAGGATGCTATGTGCTGTCATTGGCGTCTTTGTGATCTGTTTCCTGCCCCACCACGTGGTGCAGGGTCCCTGGGTGTTGTCGGTGCTGTATCTGAAGAAAGATTGGAGTAAAGAAACACGGCAAAGCTTAAACGATGCTCACCAGATCACCCTCATGCTTATGGGGTTCAACTGCCTTCTGGACCCGCTGGTGTATTGCTTCGCCACCACAAAGTTCCGCAAGTACATCCAGAATCATTTCACAAAGGTCAAGAATAACAAACACTGCTCACGCAACACATTAAGCACGGCTGTGTCACTGAAGAGCAGACATCAGAGTTAATTTTTTCATTAAAAAAAACAGCTGAGAAATATTTGGTGTCTGCTTATTCTAAATAGAATCCTATTCAGACAGTTTCAGATTTTAGCGGAATTTAATTTAAATTCCAAATTAGGTTCTCTTTAGATTGTTAAAGGGATAGTTCATCCAAAAACTAAAATACTGTCATCATTTACTCACCCTCATGTCGTTCCAAACCTGTATGACTTTTCTTTCTTTCTTTTAAAAGATATTTAAAAAAAAATGCCTTCTACAAACCAGTCAAAATCTCTCCTTTTGTGTTCCACAGAGGAATTTGTGAGGCTGGGTAAATGATGACAGAACTTTCATTTTTAGGTGAACTATCGCTTTAAATGTAATCAAACGATTGATATGATTTTCAATTGCTGTCCCTTGCAGACATCACATTCAAACAAGGGAGAATTTTAAACTCTTCAAATTATTCAACGCATATGATAAATGCCTGATATACTGAAATATTAAGCTTTTTCAGCCTCATATTTGATTAATGTATTATCATATTGTCTCTTAAAGAAATAATTTACCAAAAAAAGGATAGTTCTGTCATCATTTACTCACCCTCATGTAATTTTAAACATGCATGCTTTTTTTTCTTCTTCTGTGGAACTCAGAAGATATTATAGTGATGACAAAATGTTTATTTTTGGGTGAACTATGCCTTTAAATGTTTGCACTTGTGTAGGTGGAATATATTTATAGGTTAAACAAACCTATTATCTGTAAAGCTGTGGTGTTCTATTCTCGGTAAGATGTGGTGTTAATTTTTTGTGTTAAGAATAATTAAAACATGATGTCATATCTGGAGACTCTAGAATAAGGACGACAAATGAATAAAGAGGATGCTGGTGGTTGATCTGATCAAACCAAGGTGTGATAAGAACAGAAGACGGGTCTTTTTTTTTTTTTTTAGACATAATGCAGATGAAAGAAGCTACCTATTTCCTGTGATACTAGAGCTTCACTGTCTTAGTCTGGATTATCTGTAATATAAATTGCACTTCATAAAAAGGTGATCAGTTGATTTCTGTCTCATGTTACTATGACAAAATATATTTATTGTACTACCTTGCTTGTTTTGAAGTAGCTCTATGAGGAGCATTCCTGTGGGTCAGTTCTTATGCCACACAGGAAACCTATGCATTCTTTTCCAATGGTTTGTTTTCCAGAATGGGGAACTTGAACTGCATACATACCCTGGAAGTGTGCACTTAAACTGCCCTGGTCTTGATCTAGAAAACAAACAAAAACATTTTCTTCACAAAGAAGTTTAGTAATAAATACTCTGATTATGAAGAAATGTAAGTTTGTTGACTCTCACTTTGTTCTTAATTGTAAATCTGCGAACTGCTCAAGATAATTTTATCCATGACATTTTACTGTTGTGATATTATTTATTTAACAGTAAGTGACATTTATATTTACATTAATATACTGTAAGTTGGAATCTGTTTTATATCTATACGATTTACATTTAATGCTTTGCAAAACCAGACTTTTAAGAAAATACGTGTTTAAATACCCAGTAATTAATGTCTTGGCATTTTTATTATTTAAAAAGGTGTCTATGTGAGCTATGGTGGTCCTTTAGAAAATTATTCAGTGATGTTTTTTTCGTCCTTGATTTCCTTGTGGCATTAACACATTTTAAAATAGCATGATGCTTGTATGGCAGCTGCTTCTGGTGAATCTTTCTCAGTAATAAACTTATGCATTAAGTAGGAAGTTTTGCAAAGATGGTTTTATGTATGCTCCTATTTTTAAAGCTATGAATGTTCTCATTTACTCACCCTCATGTTGTTGCAAACCTGTATGACTTTCTTCTGTGGAACATAAAGGAGATGTTATGCAGAAAGTTAGGGATTTGGGTTTTTGTCCATTTAGTGAAAGTGAATGTTGATCAAATCATCCCTTTAATGTTTTGATGAAAAGAAGAACAGAGTGAGTGAAGGACAGTTGTGATGGAAAAACTCCTTGTCTCACATTCTGTCAACTGCAGATACTATTCTAGTACAGCAACTCTTTTTACATTTGAATATAAAAACATATTTCATATGATCATTTATGTTTGCTCATGAAATAAGGCTTTGTATGTCATGTAAAGCTTAATCAGCACTGAAATGGCAAAATGATAATAAAAAAAAACATTGAACTGTATGTTTTTGATTTTCTGCGCATTCAGCTGTATGTGTTTTTCTTTAAAGACATTTATGAGAATATATTAATGGGTATTCTGCTTTACAAGTATGCAATAATAAGCAACTTTAGATTTCAGCTGTCATGCATGCTGGGTTTCAGGTTCATATCAACATTGTGTGCATCAGCGGCCCCCATTGGTGACTGATTTAAAAATTGATTAAAATAGTGATCAGGGTTAGTCTTATGTAGCTAGATTTTTTTAATTATAAGTCCAAGTACTATTAAAACAATATACCTGAACTTTTATTCAATTATGTTTCCAAGGACAAAATTATATTATTTAGTACAAGTTATGTTATGTACTATATATATATATATATATTAACAAAATTACATGATTTACATCATGACTCGGTTAAATACAACTTTATTGGGACAGTTCACCTCAAAATGACAATTTACTCATGTCACTCCAGATCTGTTTGGTCTTTCCTCTGTGAAACACAAAAGAAGAGATACTCAGAAAAATGTGTCAGTGTTTTCTTTCATACAATGAAAGTTAACCTACTTTTATTATATGTCACTGTACCGCCCGCGGTACACTGTGTTTTTTGAGGGTTAACTTTGTGACATACAACAACTCCCAAAAAAAAAAATGTCACAACATGTCACATATCTTTGAAAAGCTGAGATTCTTGTGATTCGAATGATGCCAAACCATTTTAAGATACAATCAACACAATCAGTGTCTTTGTCAGACTGTCAACAAGGCTTCATGCTGTGATCCCATTGTGTTTCCCAGCTAATAGCTCCCAGCTATAGTCCTCTGCAGGCATCTGTTTACAAAATAAAAATGTAGATGCAATGTTTTTTTCCTTTTTCAGTGTGTTCAAAGTTCTATTACTCAGTGCCAGTAAGACTTAGAGTGATTCTGATGTTTGCTCTGTTTAGGAACAAACCTCAGAGTGTCATCTTTCAAAAGAGACCAAAACCATAAATGGTTCAAGAACAGCATGCAATTAACTTTGGGTATGACTTTTTAAGGCATTTTAGGCAGATTTTACAGGAATGCTAAAGGGTCAATAAAGGCATACAGACAAAACAGCTGGAGGGCATACAATTAAGATGTGAAAATGTGTTTGTTTTCAAGCAGTCATACATTTTTTAGTTGCTATTTCAGCTGTACTGTGGTCTAAGTCATATGAGGCGAGGCTACTTTTATAGATGGAAAAATGATGTATTTCCTGTAGGTGGAGTCTGTCAACAGTGCTTTAGGGGCCATTAACATGTCGCGCCTAAAAACGCGTGGAAAACGCTAGGCGCTCCGCTTTCTGCTTTTTCCCAAAGCGTTCAGGCGCTCGCGCTCCGGAGGCGTCTGCCGTTGCTAAGCAACCATGATCTGCGCTCTCCATGAAGACGCGGAAGTTTCAGCAAAGGATATCTGAAATTCTGAAAAGTTGAAATGTTTTTATCTCGAAAAGATGAGCGCGTCGCACCGCGTGGCGTCGCTTCCTTTATGAGGGCGCCTGCCGCGCCTCTACATTTGAAATAACGATCTTGAGCGCGCAAAAGACGCGATATGTGAACGGCCCCTTATGAATATTTATTTCCTATCATGCCCCAACCTACACCAATTTATAATAATAATGGGTATAATCCAATTTATCTTTCTGTACTGACTTTGTAGACTAAAATGGGGAAAACTGCTTTTTGTTTGCCAATGTTTGCCAAATGCATAAATATACTGCAAGAAACACTTTGTCAAAAATGTTTATCAGGAAGTATACTATAATTCAATACAATAATACAGTGGGTTTAATGGGTTTAAATCATCTTTAATGTTGAAAAACAGTATTTTTCTTCAACATTTTAAAGTGAAGCTGTAAAATGAATTTCTCTAAAATGTAAAATAAATAAATTTCCTTCCCCTCTGATGGACACATAATCATTAAAAGCTTAAACTGTTGGATTTTTTCCTCAAATCACTAGTTAATGAAAATGTCACAATAAATTAGTCTATTAGCATTATCTTGATGCCCCCAGTGAGCAAATTTTATTTTCATTTTCTCGGTTTAAATCTTGACTTAGACTATGACTAGACTATGATTTTGTGTGTGTGTTGTGAGGGTTTAGTTAAGCAGAAAACAATCGGGTGGATAACACAAACACAAATACATTTTAATAACATTCTGTTGGGTTCTGTTACATCAAAAGTTTAGCCAATGTTTATTATTTTAATTGTAAAACATGTCAAACAAAAGCTCACTAAATATATATGTGAAATAAAGAATAATGTATAGGAAGTTTATATAAGCTTTGTTTAAAAGTTTTTAGAAGCATAAGATTACAGCAAGTAATATAAACATATTTACAACCAACATATATTTACCATGCAATGGAAGTCTTAATAATAATAATAATAATAATAATAATACAACTTAAAATATGTAACATGGTTTTAAAAGTCTCTTCCCAACAGCTGAGGGAGCCCTAACCCAACTTATATGTTGTCCTCAACAGTTTTTATGTCTGTTGCAAAAAAATTGCAACATGATTAAATGTGTGATTTAGCATTTTTCCAGCAATAAACATTTAACATACAAATTAAAAAGACAATAGATTATATATATATATACCGTATCTCACAGAAGTGAGTACACCCCTCACATTTTTGTAAATATTTTATTATATCTTTTCATGTGACAACACTGAAGAAATGACACTTTGCTACAATGTAAAGTAGTGAGTGTACAGCTTGTATAACAGTGTACATTTGCTGTCCCCTCAAAATAACTCAACACACAGCCATTAATGTCTAAACCGCTGGCCACAAAAGTGAGTACACCCCAAATTGGGTCCAATTA